AAAAAAAAAGAGGGGAGGGAATTCATCTATCACTTGTTGGTTCTATAGGATTTGGGCAAGACTTTTCATGTTGGTTTTCCTGCATAGCACCAGGAAGTACTAACTACCATCATGGCCATCAGTCATGGAGCTGGCTCTGTCTCTCTTGAAAGGACTGCAGTTCTTCCACACGTATGTGGATGGCATAGAAGTCCTCATAAATTTTAAATGCAAATGCCTGCCAGTCTGCTAAGTAACCCAAGGAAAGTTACAGAAATTTTGGAATAGTAATGCAGGAAACTTTGTGTTAAGAGCCAACCCACAGCATGGCCCATCCTAGATGAATATGGAATGGTTTTCCAAGGTATTACTCGATCACTTTCTCATAATTCTTATATATTTGTGCAGGAAGATAGACTAAAATAGTACTCCAGAGTACAGAGATCCACTGGCTGGGTGCAATGTCAACATGTACTTAGGAAATACCAGTTGGAGTTATTTCACTTTGCTATAACATAAAAAGTTATTTTCTTTTTTCGTATTGGGCAATTCTGCTAATTTGTCTCCTTTAGATGACTCTAAATCTCCCTTGAATTCACTCTGAGTTGCCAAGGTCTAGTACTTATAAATAGTTAAGCAATAACAAGGAGGCTGTGGGTCTCGTCAGGAAGGTGGCGGGGAGCAGGCATATGGTTATTTGAAGCAGGCATTTTCTGAAATTGCTTCCCATCGTAGTCAATGCAACTCTGCATTCTCTCAAGGTCCACAGGCCACATTCCTTTAAAGGCAATGCTTCCTTTCCCCAAATAAAGCAGCTATCAACTCCACAATGGCGCAACACCCTGTTCCTCGGGGCTGACCAGGGTGTGCTGCTGTCCCCACCAACTCCAGAGCCACTCCAGCAGTCAAAAGCTGAAATGGGCCAGTGACCATACACCATCTAGCGTTTTGCCTGGACTGGAGCCCCGGGTAGTTCTGGGTAAAGAAAATTCTAGTTCTCTGGCTCAGGTTCCCCCATGCATGACCCACACTGTTCCTTCATTCCAGCAGTGTGACCGGAAAAGGGCAGCAGAGACCTCTGGGTCCTCAGGAACTCTATACAGAACAGGGGCCAGTCTGGGAAGGGATGAGGTCACAGCTGCAAGTAGCTGAAGGTGAGACTTCCCAGCCCCACCTCTGTCGCCCCCCACCTCCCAGCCTGCCTGGGGAGGGTGGGGGCCTGAGGCTGCTCAGAAAGGTTTTCTGAAGGACAGACCGGTGGAGAATGAGCTGTGTGCCCGGGGACATGGGCTCGGGCAAAAACATCTGTCACTCTTCCCCGCCAGGCTAGCCCCACCCGCCACCGCTGCTGAAATGACACCTGATTCGGACATGGGACGCCAGAGTTGACACAGCTGGGTCCAGGCCGGAGGTGAGTGGGGGCTCCGCCACGGACAGTGGGTGCCTACCTTTTGTTTATTTTTCCATTCTTTCCTTTAAAAAAATGTAGCTCCCAGGCCACAAAGGAAGGAGACAACATAAAAATTTATATGGAAAAAAAACTTCATCTGTCCGATCTGGTGCTCATAAAACCAGATCCAGCGTGAGGGGCTGACGCAGCTCTGGAATTTTCCATGCTGCCCTTCACAGGTTTTCACATTCCTTTACAGTCCTGGGGTTTTCTGAGGCTGCTGGGAGCACAGGGAAGCATCCCACCAGCCCCTATTTGTGCTTCTTCACCCCACCCCGTTTTTTAAGCAGCCCTCGTGCACCATCACGCCTTCAGTGCCCCGGGGAGTTCCATGTCTCCAAGTGCATTTGCCGAAGTGATTTCACTGCCAGTTGTCCCCTGGGAATGTGGAGGAGGATGTCTCTAGTCAAGTTTAGGAAACGTGCCCAGGAACCTTCTGGGAGATTCACAGCGTCGTGACAAGCCTGACACTCACACCGGCCTGGTACTTATGGCCTCCATGCAAGACGCCTTGCAGATGCCGCGTCCGGGGAAGCATTCGCAGCCAACGCTGCCCTCAGTCCTGCTCGGCCATGCAACGGAGGCCCCTCTGGCCTCCCAGGCCTGAGATTCGGGGGCTTTGTGAACCCCAAAGCTGGCTATTCCAGCATCTGTTACTTCGGGTCCACCCACCCCACCTGTCAGGGTCTTTTGGGTCTTTTGATTTCTGAACCATATTTGTCTTGGACTCGTTTCTCTCGCAGTTGCCACAAGCACGCAGGGAAAGGCAGCCCACAGGTGATCCAGGTGCCCGGGGCCTGGGCCTTGCAGGCAAGTCGCTCCTGGGAGGCCCCCACACTTGCTACCTTCCAGAGCATCAGGGATGAGCTGTAGGTAGTTTCCAAAGAGATGCTCTCACCTGAACTTGTTTTTCCACCAAATGGGCCCAAGGTGGGTGCTGGGAGTTGAATTAGGACCAAAGGCCAGCGGCGGCTGCTCTGGGGCTAGGCTGCCTGGAAGTGGAGACTCATTAACACTGGTTCTTAAATTAGCACATCTTTCTAGCACAGGTTTAAAAATAGCAGCCTAATGGTTTCTAAAATTAGCAGGTGTTGATCTCCATAAATAGTCAGAACTCCAGTAGGTCCTGGTCCACTTCCCTAGAAGAGTGGGGTCAGCAGGCCCCGCTTGTACACCACATTCTTTAAGGTTGCTGTGCTTAATGATTGACCTTGACAAGCAAGAACGTGAGAAGCCGCCCAGACCAGGGACAGTTGTGTAGCATCCCCAGAGGCAGCCTCCCGGCGGGGCTGAAAGAGAGCTCTGGGGTCCGAAGAGCCAACCTTCCTGGCTGGCCTGGGACTGGCCTGATTCAGCACTGCGAGTGCCTGGACTCCCTCTTAGTCCCCAGCAAACCAGAACAGCCGGTCACCCTGGTGGCCTGAATCACTGCAGAAGGACCCCGTCGATGTTCTCGAGTGCCTTAGGGGAACAGATTCCACTCCAGAATGCACCCAGGAGCCCCCGCCCCTAGCGCTGAGCCATGGATCCTGCTGGATTGAGACAGGGGGTGTTTGAAGGAGGAATTGAAGATGGATGTCACCGCAGGTCAGGCAGAGAGCTCTTGTCCTGAGCGTAAAGCAGGGGCAATAACTGGGGCTCTTCCCAGGTTGTTGTGGGGGAGAAACTGGGTACCACGTGTCACGCTCTGCCTGGCACCTGGTTTCCTGCAGATGCAATAACTTGGAGCTTCCCAGGTCAGCTCTGCCTGGTACCCAAGTGCACTGTGCAGGTGGGTGCGGCAGCTCCGGCCCCACATAGCCCAGCACCCCCCTCTGTGGGTCCCAGCAATGGCAGCTCAGCCAGATCTCCCCGCCCTGGGCAGCAGGGACAGGGAAGGTGTCCCCCGTCCTCACCCCAGCACCTGCACAGGCAGCTGAGTGCAGGGAAAGGCGCTGAGCAGGCCCAAAGACAGCTCCTGGCCAGCTGCAGGAGGCCCATTAGCACCAAGTATGCATGAAGAGAACTGGTCCAGAACCAGGCAACCTGTGAAGCATCAGCAAAACCCCTGGCCTCATCCCCCAGACCACTGCACACCCAGCCAAGCCACACTGCTTGCTGTGATCTGCTTTTGTTTGTTACCAGGACAGAACGTCTGGTTACCTGCTGTGAGGCCGGACACTGGAGTCCAGTTTTTCTGCCTAAATCCAGCAAGTGACCAGACGCGCCCCCAGAGAGCATCACCTGTTCGATTAATAACCAAATCCTTCGCCGTGACAGGGTGGGGGATTTCTTGACCGGGATTAAAGGGAAGCAGGCTGTTTCCACAGCTTGGCTGTTGTGAACACCAGTGACCCCTGAGCAGATCCCCCTTTGAACTAGTCTTTCTGCACGCCCTGCGTAGGCCCCTAGGAGGAGAATTGCTGGCTCATATGGCGCGGCTCTTTTTAATATTTTGAGAGACTCCAGGGCTGTGGTGGGGTCCTGTACCTCTCAACCACACAGTATCGTAAAGCAGTGCTATCAGTTAAAAAAGAAAGGAGAGACTTGGGGTCAGCAGACGAGCCTCCCTCTCTCCTTCAGGACCAGAGGACGCTTTGAGGCTGTGAGGTCCAGCTCCCTTATTTCAAAGAGAAGGAAACAGTCCCCACAGAGAGACCCCAAGTTACCCAGCAGTGGGGGGCTGGTTGGTGCCAGGACCCCTGATCCTCTGGCTTTTGCGCTTTGCTCTGAGCAGGAGAGCCAGCGACACAGCCATCCTCCTGCCTTTTTCTTTCCTTGCTCTCTGCCTGCCGCCTCTCTCCTGCTTCCTCTCAGCCTCTCCCAGGCCTGACATACCTGGAACTACATCAGTCCTTGCCCTTGAGAAGTGTTCTGGATTTTGCTGTGGTTCAAGTTTTTGTAAACCTCTGAAATCCCAGTATCTCAGAGAGTCAGGGAGCAGCCTTTGCTCTGCAGCCACCCCCTACCCGCTGCGGAGTGGGGTGAAGGGCGTGGGTGCTGGGAGGGAAGGTCCTGGCCACAGCACCTAAGGGACATATGACCTCAGTAATCCCTGCCCACGGGCATCAGCGGGCACCTTCCAGGCTCATCCCAGCCCTGGCAGGCTGGAGGGCAGCCTCTGACCTGCCATGGGGGCTAACCCTTCCCCCCAGCACAGAGAAGTCACCCTGGTCGTCCTGAGGGACAGCCCAGGCTGTGTTTTAGTCCTGACCCCAGTCAGTCCGCTCGCTGGCTAGTGCCGCAACACAAGGCCTTGAGAGTCCAACGCAGCAGCAGCGCTCGAAGCTAGAGCTAAGGTAGAACTTCCCAGGGCGGCAGGTAAGGGCCCAGGGCGCAGACATGAGGGCCCCAAGGGCCTTCCCAGAGCATCTCCCCTGCCGCTCCCTCCTCCTCGCCTTCCAGGGCAACTGTCTGCAGGGGCAGCTTAATCTTATGCCCGGCCCAACCTCCCACACTATTTTTAAAAATGGTAATGGCCCTGGGAAGGCTGGGGTGGCACCTGCGAGCGCACCGGGTAATATTTAACTCGGCTCCTTTCTCTCCCACCGGCCGCGCCGGCCTCATTAGGACCGCGGGCGCGAGCCGGGCCATGGCCAGCACCGCGGTGCAGCTGCTGGGCTTCCTGCTCGGCTTCCTGGGCCTGGTGGGCACGCTCATCACCACGCTGCTGCCGCACTGGCGCCGCACGGCGCACGTGGGCACCAACATCCTGACGGCCGTGTCCTACCTGAAGGGGCTGTGGATGGAGTGCGTGTGGCACAGCACGGGCATCTACCAGTGCCAGATCTACCGCTCGCTGCTGGCGCTGCCCCGCGACCTGCAGGCGGCCCGCGCGCTCATGGTCATCTCGTGCCTGCTGGCCGGCGTGGCCTGCGCCTGTGCCGTCGTGGGCATGAAGTGCACGCGCTGCGCCAAGGGCTCCCCCGCCAAGGCCGCGTCGGCCGCGCTGGGCGGCGCGCTCTTCCTGCTGGCCGGCCTGCTCTGCCTGGCCGCCGTGGCCTGGACCACCAGCGACGTGGTGCGCAGCTTCTACAACCCGCTGCTGCCCAGCAGCTTGAAGTTCGAGCTCGGGCAGGCCCTGTACCTCGGCTTCATCTCCGCGGCCCTCTCGCTCATCGGCGGCACCCTGCTCTGCCTGTCCTGCCAGGACGAGGTGCCCTCCCGGCCCTACCCGCGCGCCCCTCGGGCCGCCACGGCCACTGCCCCCGCCTACTGGCCCCCCACCGCCTACAAGGACAACCGCGCCCCCTCGGCCACCTCAGCCGCGCACAGCGGGTACCGGCTGAATGACTACGTGTGAGTGCCCTGCCCTCCCCCGGCCCCGCGGTGGGCGCACCGGCTGTCAGGACTGCACACCTGCCAGGACTGCACACCCGCCGGGACTGCACACCCGCCAGGACTGCACACCCTCCGGGACCGCACACCCTCCAGGACTGCACACCCGCCGGGACTGCACACCCTCCAAGACTGCACACCTGCTGGGACTGCACACTCTCCAGGACTGCACACCCTCCAGAATGCACACCCTCCGGGACTACTCACCCTCAAGGACTGCACACCCTCCAAGACTGCACACCTGCCAGGACCGCACACTCGCCAGGACCGCACACCCTCCGGGACTGCACACCCTCCAGGACTGCACACCCTCCAGAATGCACACCCTCCAAGACTGCACACCTGCTGGGAGTGCACACCCTCCGGAATGCACACCCTCCAGGTCTGCACACCCTTCGGAATGCACACCCTCCGGGACTGCACACCATCCAGGACTGCACACCTGCCGGGACTGCGCACCTGCGGGGACGTTTGGGGACTAGGGCATGAACATGAAGAAACGGGCCTAGAACACAGGGGAGGAGGGGAAGAAAAAGGAGCAAATGTCTATATACCAAAGACTACAAAAATCCGTCTGTTTTCGTATTTATTGTATGTATTTACGCGGGTGAGTCGATAACGCGGAATAAAAAACCATGTGGAGCAAGGCCCGCGGGGCGTGTCTGCGTGCAGGAATAAGCCTTTGGAGCGGCTTGTTTATGAGAGGGGCAGCGTTGCTTTCTGTGTCCAGACTGTCCAGCCCTGAGCTGCTGGCGACACCGTCACGCTCTGTGGGCCCCACGTGGCAAGCCTGGGGACACTCAGGGAGCCGCCACCGCCCATGCATGTCCGCCCTGACCAGCCCGGCATCCAGCTGGAGCCCAGGAGAGGGGAGTGCGGGTGCCCTGGGGCAGACAGGAGCCGTAAATCAGGAAATAAGAGCAATGGTGGGGGCAGCGAGCTAAAGCCCCTGCCCCAACTCTGAGGGAAGAGAAAGTCAGAGGAATAAAAAACAAGACCCAGACTGTGCCTGGTGGCGGCTGTCTAGGCCCTGCCAGAAGCCCAGCTCAGCCCAGGCCCTTGGGGGACACCCTGGCGTCCTGTCTGGGCACCCAAGTGTGGTGGTGGGTGCTCTGTTGACGCGCCCTTCCTGGGAGGCCAATGGGGTCCGAGAAGTTAGGAACCCCATGGTGCTTCCTGGCTGTGATGTGAGCCAAACAGTCAGAGAGTGAAGGTCTCTCTCTCTCTCTCTTTCTGCCCCTCCCCACCCCTGGGTGAGTCCTTGCTTGGGCCTGCACAGCTCACATATACCCATCACACAGCCTCTCCTGTGCCGGGTCTTGATGGCCGTGCTCAGACCCCTCGCTCCAGCCTCCAGCTCTGAACTTGGAGGGCAACACCTTCCTGGGGCAACCGGCCACCTCCCTCCTCCAGGGGCCTGAGTGGGGCCCATTGCCCCTGTGCAGGGGACCTGTGACAGGTCACAGCAGGTACGGGGTCAGTGGGCCCGGCTACTGCTGTCTGGTGTGACCAGGGCCAGGGACATGGAAGGGGGGCTCCCCTGGAAGGGTTGGGAGGCCAGGTGGGTGCAGCCCAGCACCCCTGGTTCCAGCAAGGTTGGAGGTAGCTTTCTGCGCTCCTGACCTCATGACCGAGTCCTCCAGAGCCAGACAGCCATGGAGGTGGGAAGAGAAGCCGGTCGCCTGGCACTTGTCCGCCTGCCACACTGGGCAACCCTGCTCCGACCCTGCAAGCCTCATCCACCACACCTGTAGGCCACACCGGCAGGAGCCGAGCACACGAGCCTGGGGCAGAGGCAGAAGTGGGAGGTGAAGGAAGGTATTTCTTTTCTGCTCTGAGCTGACCGCTAGGCCCAGGAACAGGGCCCACTTCTGTTGGAAGGGGGGGTGCACATGTGTCAACCTTTGTCTGACCTTACAGAGGCTAAGGGATGGGGAATTCGGGCAAAAATAAGTCATCGTTTATTTTTGATGAAATGAACAATTGTAACCTCTCTTTAAATTATAAAAATAAATCAATCCGACTCAATAATGAAGAGGAAAAAACCTTCTAAAAACAAAATTTCTTATTAGCCTCTACTTGATGCTCACAGTCTAAAGTGTGTTAGTGAAGTTATTCTACTTAATAGCCCTATTAAATTTTAAGACAATATAAAATCGCTTTGCTCAAATTTTTTCTGAATTCCGTCACTACTTAGATAAAACATGTCTCTCCTCCTCAGGGGAAAGGCTAAGAATAATAGTGATTGTAATTTATTGAACACTTGCTATGAGCCAGGTGTATGTTTTATTTATTAGATTAGTACAGGAGACACATGAGAACACAAAGAGATAGACAGAGCGAACCCCATTTTACCAAGGAGGAAATTAAAACTCAAAGAAATTAAGTCATTTGTCCAGAGCCACAGAGTTAGTGAGTGAAAGACCCAGAATTCGAGCCCAGACAGGTGAGGGGGCAAACACTGAGTCGAGACCTGTCCTGGAGCCTGATGGTCTTCATTGCAGATATCAAATAATTCATTATTGCTTGACCAGATTTGATTCTTTCCAGAACCATCATTTCACAGAGCATCTGTTGCCTGTGTTGTGACTGGGTTCAGTGAAACAAGATATCAGACCCAGAGGGCCAACATTGAGTCCCTCTAGACAGCACAAAGTGACAGGTGAGGCTGTGTCCACAGGTGGCCAGCTGAGGCAGGAAGTAGATCTTGACTCCCTTCTTCAGGGTGTAGGAAGGCAGTTCCATTCCCTCCGTGCACTTTGCTCTCACTCCAAGACAAGTACCTCAGGTACCTAAATCCTTCAAGTACTAAGTAAGTACCTCAGGTAAGTAAGTACCTCAGGTAAGTATCTCAGTTAACTAATGCTTCAGTTCCTTCCAAGCCCTCTTTTGTTACTTTCCAACCACAGCCATCAAGTAGATGCCCCCTTCTGCCCAGATCATCGGTGGTTTTATTTATTTATTTATTTTTTAGAAGAGGCAGCCTCTTCTAAAAAAAAAAAAGATTTATTTATTTATACAAGCACCCGGGTATAGGCCAGATGCACGGGAGGGTGAGAGGATTCACCAGAGACAGAGCGGGGAACAGAACAGGCAGACTGACGAAATACACTGCTGAGGGGAGCAGCAGACGAGACAGGAGAGGTCTGCCGCGCCATGTGGGATTCTCGCTGGCTGGCCGGGATTGAACCGGCACTGCAGAGGCTGCGGGCAGCTTCACTGGGCTGTGCTCAACTGCTGCACCACGAGGGAGGCCCCGGAACTAGGTGGTTTTCATCGAGGTGGTTTTGACGTAAGTACAGCACACTACCGCAAATTTCAGAATAAAAAAGAAACAAGTGTCAGGCTTTGATGTTTGCTTGTCTAACTCAAATGAAATGTGTCTCTAGGTCAGAGTGGTCTCAAGCCAGCTGTGTTTTCGGTCCACCCCCATCCCTCACCCCATGGCTCTCTATTTTTAATTTTTTTGTGGACTCTCCCCGCTGCTTTCCAACATGGCGGCCCCGATTCACATTCCCACCAACAGGCTCTTATTCTCCTGTTGTTTCTGAGTGGCTGGGTCGGGCTGTTTCCTTTTCGCCTAGAAGTCTTGTGGAAGAAAATTAGTAAAACTGGGGCACAGTCGGGCCTCCCTGGTGGCCTAGGGGTTAAGTCTCAGTGTTTTCACCACCATGGCCCAACGCAGTCTGCCGCAGAGCTGACCCACAGGGCGCAGCAGACCTCGCCTGTCCCCCCCGCTGCCCCCCTCAGCAGTGGGTTTCAGTGGATCCACCTGTTCTGCCCCCCACTCTGTCTCTGGTGAGTCCTCTGGCCTACACCTCTGTTCTTCGACACAAAAATAAGTAAAATCTTTTCTTAAAAAAAAATGGGGCACAGAGAATAAATGACCCAGGAGGGTTTGGAGTCAACCATGGAGATCACTGTCAAAAGTCACCCACCGTGTCCCAGACCCCACCCTCAAGCTCTCCCACCCAGGAAACAGCGGGCCCACATAGACACCCTCACCAGGGAAGAGACATTCTTTGTGGTAGATTTCTCCTCCTGGTTCTTACACCTCTACACTGAGATGCCTCTGCCGGGAGACAGAGACAGCCATCCCCTGGTGCAAACCTGCTTTCCCTTTGCAGGGAGATTAGAAATCACCACCTGGCTGATTTGGGGACAAAGACTTTGTCACTTTATGTGATTTTCCTATTGCCACCTGCTCCCTGTCACCACCGGACCCCACCTAGGGGGTGGAAGCGGCACATCAGAATTCTCTCTGCGTGTTTCTCCAGGAAACCCTCATCACTGACGCTGAAAATAAAGCTCTGTCTTCTCCCGGCAGCGGCGACCTCTGCTGCTAAGTCACAGTCTCACCGCGGCCGTATAGACGGCCGCATAGACGACATGAAGTCCATCCACCCCCAGACAGGTGCCCCAGGCCCGTGGACTCTGCCTCAGTTCGGAATCGCAAATATAAAGAAAAAAGGGAGAGCGGTTGCAAGAGGAAATGGATGCTACAGAAATAGGTTATCAAGGGGGTTTAAAAGCCTGCAGCGCAGTCACTGTGCCCCTCTGGTAACAACGACGTTCCAGGAGGTAACCGAATAAATGACGTTATTTCCAATGATAGTTTAGAAATGTGTGACAGCTGTCATCTGATGGGACGTATTTGTGATTTCCCAGTGATAACTATTGAAATAGCAAAGTAAATAAGTAAATAACTGGGAAACAGCTTGCTCGGGTGACCGGAAGAATATTTATGCAGCCAGAAATTCACATTTTTCCTGCACACAAGTGGCAGTGCATTAAAATAATCCCTGAGGACCCGAGAGGGCTTTGGGCTTAATAAGGGGGAGACGCTGGCGAGGGAGGGGGGACCCGAGCACCCTTCCCTAAGACAGAGAGACCTGGGTCCGTCATGGGTCCTGTGCCTTCCCCTATTTGTCCAGCAACGACAGTGCTAGCCGTAGCATGTGCTGT